ACATAGAATCCAATTAATAGTATTGACTTTTTGCATGTTCCCCATGTAATTATTTACTGATGGGATTTTCTCAATAAAACAAATGTTATCCTTTTCTTTCAGAATCCCATTTTATGTAGATTATATTTCTTTTAAGTCATGCAATGTTATTCATGTTGTGGTTAAACCTTCTTGACACAAATGGCTCTCCTATACTAACCAACCAATGAAACTGTTTTCTTGCTCTTTGATGTTTACAACATCCTGTTCTTCAGATTTAGAAAGTGGATTTGGTTCTTAGAGCTGAACAAGGGTTTATTTTGCTCAATTTTATACACAATTCTTTATTTTCCACTTTATTGCATGGTTCACTTAAAATGGTAACTCTGTGATTACTGAAGTGGGTTTAAGATCAGAAGACTTTAGTTTCAATCTTTAAAAGAATTTCAGTTTTTACTGCAATCTTTTCTTTTTATCGAGATTAAACTTTGTTTTTGAAAAATCACTGTTACTGATCTAACTTTCACATATCATCAATTATATCCACTAAAGGAACTGATTTCAGTCTTAAGATATTTTTTTTTATTAACCCTTTCTTCATTATTAATAGGTTTTTAACCTCCTGTTGGCACTGTGGCATGTTTGGACACTCTACAAAATGTTTTTGAATTATGTAGAAGTAGAGCAAAAGGATGAGTCCAAAGTGTAAATTGCAAATTGGAGGGACCAAAATCAAACAAGTGCAAAAATTTAAATATCTAGAAAGTGTTTTAATAGAAAACAGGAAGAGTGACATTGAGATCCAAAGGCGTATTGGGACAGCCAAGGAAGCATTCTAAAACCTAAGCAGAGTATTAAGAAAATTTCGCTAGAAACTAGGAAAAGAGTACGAAACTGCTATGTGATATATACCCTCCTGAATGGCAGTGAGTGCTGAATGATCTCAAAGAGGAAGAGGAGACTTAAAGCAACAGAAATATTGTTCTACAGAAGGATGCTGAGGGTATTATGAAACAAACATATCAGTAACAACAAAATTTTGAAGAAAATGGAAACAAAAAAGAAATTAATACTTAATATCAGGAAGACAGTTTAGATTACTAAGACATATAATGAGGAAGGCGGGCTTAGAAAATCTGATACTCACAGAGGGCAAGAGAGACAGAGGAAGATAATGTATAGCATACTCATTGAGCTTGAGTTAATGGATGATGGAACAGGGCTTAGGAGAAATAACAGACAAAATTTATTAAGAGCTTCAAGAGTCAGGAAGTTGTGGAAAGCCATGATTGCCTGTCCTGAGGGGATGTGGCACACAAAGAGGTAGAAATTCTAAGCTGTACAAGAATAAATGTGGTTATGCTAATTTCTACTACTTTTACATGATACAATCTTGAACACAAACATTGAAAACATTAACAATGAACTGTTTGAAAATAGCTAATGAATTGGCTGAAAGCACTTGGGACATTCATTATAGACAATTTCTGCACTTTCTTAGTCTGCCAATGATGTAAAAACATTAGAAAAATTGAATAAAAATCTCATCTAGCATGAAACAGCCTGTTGCCTCTGAGTGTTGATTTCAATGTTCACTTTTATATTTACATACACTTTATCTCTGATATTGAGTACTTTATCCCATAAATATAGCACACCTTAAAACTATATATCTTTATATATGAGTGCATAGGCAAGTGGTTAGAATGTTTAGATTTAATAAAAATCTCATAGGATTTTTCTTGTCTGTCACATTAAATAGAATATCTGTATGTATGTATGTGTCTGTATGTGTGTATATATATATATATATATATATATATATAAATAAAATGATGCTGCTTCTATATATTTATATATATGTATATGGGCACATGGCTGAGTGGTTAGAATATTCGCTTTCTGACCATGAGAACCAGATTTGAATCTCATAAGGGTTGATTTGTCAAGAAGGCATGTTCCTCATGTTATCAGACTGAATCAAGGTCGATACCAGCGTACGGCCCTTTGGAAAGTACCTGAAAACTATAGCATAGGTTAACCCAAGCCTTATTAGTGAAATTGGGTAGGCGGAACTCTTGTCCGAGGGCTTGAGCATGCTGGCCTTGTTCAAATTGTTGATCATGCTAGATAACATGCTCTCTCCCAGAAACTGTAACTACGGTCTGCTCAGCATAGTTACAGTATAAACCACAGGTGGGCTCGCTGGGTGTTGAGGAAACACAAATATACCTGGGCATGTCTCTGCAATAGGGATTGGCTAGCCGCCCTAGTAGACAGGTATCCTCGAATACAAGTGGCCAGCTATATATATATATATATATATATATATATATATATATAATACACATGCACATATACTTTTATGTCTGTATGCATTAGATGGAGGGAAAGGACATGGAAACTTGTGCATTGTGCAAAGAAATAAAGGAGAATAAAGAAGTCTGTGGAAACTATCAAAAATGGGTTTATAGGCTTGAGAAAGAAGAAAGTCCAAACTCAAAAGAATCTGCCCTTCAATAAGATGTAGCCAAAGTGGGAGGAAAGAGGAGGGGGTGTGCAGAGATTGGATATGAAAAGGGGTTAAAGAAAGGAACAAAAGTAATAGACCCCATTAAAACGTCAATAAAAATGTCAGCCAGTCAGAGAAGGGACAGGATGCATCAGGTGGTGGCTTTCGCTTAACAGCAGCATCTCATTCACATGCAACAGTCCTTTCATGTCGGCCTAACCCAATCAGTTCTATTGTACAATATTTTACATTGCACAATATTATTGTTCAATCTATGAACAGAATGCTTTGATGAAATGGAAGTTTGTGATTTTTTTTCTCTTGTAATGTTTGAGAAATTTTAACTTCTATAGAAACTTCAAATTTCAAACAAAAGCTGAAAATTTTCTTTGTCATCTATTTTCATCTCATACTTGCAAAATCCTTAATACTCGTGATTGTAGAAATAGTTATTACAATACTTTGACTTATCGAATCAAAAAAGTGCCTTATATTTATTTAGTGTAGTTTGAAAAAACTTACCTCATGGACATCCGTATGTAAAAAGAATCTTATGGGGAAGCCATATTGTTTTTATACTGACAAATTAACGCAGAATCATAGCTTTGAGATTTGAGAAAATATAAATATGCAGTGTACGAAAGACAGGGGGGGGAGAAAAGGAAGTTTATCTACAAAAGACCAGACAATACGAAAAATACAACATCTACATCTTGTTGACACATTATGGTGTATAGTGCTGCTACCATACCGATAATGTGTTTAAGTAGTAGTTGAATTTTTATTAGGCTGGGTTATTCACCAAATATCCAAGATAGATTGTCTTAGAAAGCTGAAGGGTTCCAACTAGCCTACAATTTGCCTATATCTGATAAGAGAAATGGATTTATGCCTTTCTCAAAACACAAAGTGAGCAAACTAATCCCCTTGAAGTTTGAACTCAGTTTGCCAGGTTCATTTTTGTACCATTTAATTAAGCTACCTGCACCATCATGTTAATCAAATATAATTCTTTCCTGTACCTATCTACTGTATGTGATAACATATAAAACAAACTTACCTCAGAAAATCACTGAATTGACACTCACTGCTAAAATTTTACCTCAGCTGATCACTTCTAGTTTACTTCTACAAAAATAGTAGCCACTATTTATTATATTGTTTACTGGAATGGTTGGTAAAACATTGACTAATGGCCAATTGATTCAAACTTTATAAAATGGTAAATATGGATTTTCTTACAGTTCATATTTTTTAATAATTTAGTAAAAAATTTTCATGTTCTTTATAAATTGGTAATTGATAAATATTGCATTAGTTTCAATTGTATTAATTTTTTTTAGAATGTTTTAATTATAAAATTATTGTAAACAATTAAAGTGTTTAATATATTTATTGTAAATTCTTAAAAATGAAGAAAATGTATAAATTCACTTTCATATGATTGGGTTTTACTAAAATTCTACTCCTTGCTTTTTAAAACATTGCTGAGGAGTGATTTAGTTAAAAATAATAGTGGTGACATGGGAAAAACTGTCCTTCAGACATTCTGTTTTTGTTTTTTTGCCATATTTTATATAATATTATTTACTGAAGTAACAATATTATTACTAGTACTGTGAGAGGAATTGTAACAAAGTACTGGTGATGTTTGTCTGTACCAACTATACCTGATCATGACTCAACACATACCTGTAATTAACCAACTGGAAACTACAAAAGGAAGGGACATAACTGGAAAGAAATACTGATGTGTTTTGATATAGATTCAACTGCAGTGAAAACTTGCTTTTTATAGAAATGTTTACTATTTTTTTTCTCTTGCAGTGTTTTATTACTGTAATCATGTAGGATCTTTTTACTATTGTGATTTATTGCTTACTTTTTGTATGCAGTTATAGCTAAAGTTTTTTTATAAAGTACTGACAGTTTGCTTTAAATTTTTTAAAATTTTTTCTTGAATATGACCGGCTGAAATGGGAGTGCTTCTAATAATCCCATACAACCTTCTTAGCTATTTTTAGGTAATGGTTTTGTTAATTAAAATTTTAAATACTTGTCTCAGGGAATTTTACGTTCTATGAATTATTGAAGTTTCTACAGGACCTCTAGACCAAAAATCTTTTTTTAGATATTTATGATGCTTATTCAGACAAGCATAAGGATCAAATTACCCATGTGAATGAAAAGATGAAGGAAACAAATTTTCTCATTCTTCACATTTATTTTCAGCATTTTAATATTGTATCGGAGAAGAGGTTCTTATAATTATAATTATTGCCAGTCATGCAATAACTTATCTATTTCAATATTGTTTCCCATATAATATTGACCAATATTAGTGTTCTGGCCATGAGACCCAGTTTCAAAGGTCACCATGATTGATATGTAAAGGAATTGATTTCTTGTTAATTTCAGCCTAAGGATACAACCCTAGCATGTGGCATCATTGAGTAGTGCCTGAAAATTCTACCACAGGTTGATCCAAGCCTTGTTTGTGAACACTAATGGCCACATCACATTAAAACTCTGGTTCTCGTATGATCACTGAAGTTAAGCAATGTTGAGCCTGGTCAGCACCTAGATGGGTGACCACTTAGGAATACCAGTTACTATAAGCTTGGATGTGTGGATGGTGTAATGGATAATAGCTTGGAATTGCTAATCAGAGAGACAAGTTCCAGTTGGGTTTGTTATATTCACTTATGTGCAAATGCACTTGGGGAAAGGTATGAATCCACCACTTTTCCTCGCAGCTATGGGTTAATTAGTGAAACTTGTATGTCAGTCAGTTATGTGTAATACATGCTTAGGCAATCATGTATCTTTCGATACACAAGGCAGATTTTTTCCAATAGCAGGTTGCCATTTCTTTCTGCGGTAGACCAGTTGCCATCCAAGGCTATAGAACCTGGTATGTCCTTCTATTTACCCATAGCTAGTGGGAGAATAGGAGAATTCATGCCTTTCCCACAGGGTATTAGCACATAAGTGAATGTAATGGATTCAACTCATTATTATCTTAAAAAAAAAAAAAAATTTCAAATCTAGAAATATTTTCTGGCTTTAAATAATAATGTTCAAAAGGTTGATAAACTGTAGAAAATAAATCAATCAATTAAACTTGTTTTTGAAATTGGGTAAAGAAAGCTGTTCAAAAGCTGTTGATAGTTGTGCTATCATGAAGTTATAAGTCATCATAACTGTAAGTTTGAGCGTACTAGCATTGTTCAACTACTGATCCCACCAGGTTATACTCTATATCAGAAAATGCAACTAAGGTTCACATGTTATAGTTACATTATAAGCTATAGGTTGATTCTAGGTGTGCTGAAGAAACATAAATGTGCCTGATTAGGCATCTGCAACAGGGATGGGGTGACCACCCTAGCTTACTATATTTGGAAACAAGTCGCTGGTCATTTGTTTGGCCTTTTCCTTGTTTTCTTCTATGGAATAAATTTTTACTGGTTTACATTTAGGCAATCTCCATGTGGTGTGGTCACTGACCTTTTTGTTTCGCTCTGTTGTATCCAAAAGTTTGGAGATAAAAGCAGCAAGTGATGCCATCAGTGAAACTATTTCTGTTAATGTGTGAATGTATCTAACCTTTGTCTGCTTTTGGAAATTGTCATTTTGAGGTTAGCCTGAATCTTTTGTGTTTTGCTTTCTTGTCATGATTTGGCTTGATGCCAGTGCAAATCGAGTTTGCGTGTTTACCTCAACTGACCAACTGCAGTTATCTTACTGTTGTGACGAGGTCAGTAGAAGGAGAGGCACCTTGCTTTACTAGAATTTCTTCTTTGGAATCATTTTGACCTATAGTAGTTCTTAACACATATTCTTGTTGCTGATAGGGTTTATGGCCATATCATGTTGAAACACTGTTTTGTATCTGGTCACCTAAGTTAAGCAACCTCAAGACTGATCACTATCTAGATGGTGTCTGCTTGGGAATAACAGGTGCTGGAATCTTGGATGTATGGTGGTAGATAAGAGCTTGAAATGAAAAATTGGTGAGCAGAGTTAGAATTCCAGTCATGTTGGTTACATTCGCTTATGTGCTTATGCTCTTGGGAAAGGTATAAATCCACCTCTTCTTTCCCCAGCTGTGGGTTAAATAGTTGAACTTGTATCTGAAATTATCTTTCATTATCTCACCCCTCCCCAAAAATTATTAATACAATATTCGCTCACAAGAAAATTATTTTTATAATCCAAAAACGTTTTGCCTTTAAATAACCTGCAAAAGGTTGATAATCCATTAAAAACAGTCTCGCTAGTAACGTTTGTCAATAGTTAATTTGACCACTAAATCCTTAAACATGAATGCAAATCATTTTAAACAATCTGATTTTTTTCTTTGTATATTTATTACAATTTGTATTTATTTTTAAAAGTAGTAGATAGGTTCACTTATTGTTTGGTTTTCTCTCCTCCCTAGTCTTTTGAACTGGAGTAGAGGCTTATCCATTGTTCTCCCTTTAGGATTGGGTTTCTGATTTCTTCTAAAATCTTTTCATTCTCTTTCACTCTCAAAAGCCCTTGCATCTTAGTGGCACTATTGCCTTGCTTGGAGCAAATTGATTAAAAAAAATAATTCACTGAATTTACTTTTTGCTTATTTATTCAATAGAGATAAATTGGATACTGTTAATATTACTTTAAAAATGTTTTTCTACTGCATATTCAATATTTCTCATTTTTAAAAAGGGATGCTGAGTAATTTTGCATTCACTTAATAAAATTATGGTCACTTAAAACAGCACTTACCTTCTATTGAATATATAGCAATAATGCGTTTGTACATCATATGGAATAAATGCAATAAACAAGTATTTGGTATATAATTATCATTTATTTATCTCCCCACCCTCTTTTTCCTTGTCATGGAAATGAGTGAATCAGATTGATTTTTCCCTTGGCATTCAAACTGGGATCAAAGTGTAGTATCTGCTCTCTCTCACTCTTAAAGTTATGAGGGATGCCTGGCTCCAGAGACTCCAACT